TTTCTGACGGCGAGGTCGAGGTCGATCAAGAAAGAAGACCAGGAGTGATCGTTGTCATCTTCGTTGTCATCCTCGTTAATTATCAGATTGTTGACCGAAATGTCCCGATGAAGGAAGCCAGCCTTGAGCAAGGACTCGTGTCCCTGGATGCAACCCTCCAGCGCGGCAAGGAGAGCCGACCGAGAGCTTGCCTTGTAGATGGGCTTTCCATAGTCACGAAGGATGACACGTCGGTGCATCCGGTTCGATAGTGCGTCGCCGCTAGCCTTCGTTGGGGATGCCGAACAAGATCGCTTGCTGGGGGGAGGGCGGCGCCAATCTGGCTGGATGATCGCTTCTTGCCAGCAGTGCTGCTGCTGCTGCGGCCTCTCTGCGAAGGCCCAGACGCGATTGCACTCGGCGGCGGCATCGAGCGCTCCGGCCTGTAGTTGGTAGCTGTTGTGATAGCCAGTCCTCGGCGAACGTTGCTTCGAATATCGTCATCTGTGCCGTGTATTTGAACCGTCTCGTGGTGGTAGTACCGGGCCACGTTAACCACGCTCTTATCAGTTGCTTCTTGGAGCAGGTCCCCTTCTTCGTCGCGCTCCGTATACTGCCACGAATCCTTAATTACGAATTGTGTCTGTGGGTCTCCTTCCCGATATGCTTTCCAGCAAGTGGTCGCGCGGCCGGCGATGCAAGGTGCACGCGCCATCAGCTCGTCGATAACGAAACGCTCTGTCCGGCCGTCCCGCTCGATCACAATAAACCGCTGGCCCTCTGCCTTGACGACTGTGGGGTCGAAGCCGAGCTCCTCCTCGCTCATCCACAGAAACCCGAAAATCGTAGATACAAACTGCAGCCCATCTTCGTTAATGTCGAACTTGTCGGACGCAATTCCGCCCAGCCGGTCAAACTCCCACAACCTCATAAAAGGCCCGCAAAGAATAAATCCCAAAACGAAGCGGCGGGTATCTTGCGCCGCGAACACTTCTCTTGCATACCTCCCCACATCAAGCCACGCCTTTAAGGCTATGTCTGCAGAGCGGTTGCTCTTTAGCTCTCCAGGCACGAAAATCTGCGACCAGCGGCATTTCGAATCTTTTCCGGCCTCGGGGTCGTCCACCAAGCCGACGTCCAGCTTCCGCTCTCCCGTTAAACCCTGGATCGGCGTATTAGGCTGTGCCAGTGGTCTTCGTCGACGTGTTGGGGTCGGCCTGTAGTTTTCCGCAAATGCGTCCAGCTTTAGGATTATGTTGTCGAGCCAGTTTAGCACTTCCTTCTCTTGTGCCCCTGCTGGCCATCCGCTCCACCCTTCGCCGCCGAAAAGTGGATTGCTGCCTTCCATGCACTTCTCCAAAACGGCCTTGGACGCTGCATGTAAACCTGCCACGCGCCCAAAAAAGACTTCGCGGAAGCCAGGAAGCCCAACATAGAGAGGACCAAGCTCCAACCTAAGGACCCTGTCCACATCTTGGCGGTATTCCGAGGAGTTGGCAAAACTGCCCGTGTTGTGTAGCCATGGGGTTTGCTGGAAGGAAGATGGCACTAGGCGGGGAGGCGGGGTGGACTCGGCGACGGCGCGGTAGACTTGATCCCAGATCAGGGCATCGTTTGGATCACCGGCGAGGGCCGCACGCAGCAGGGGCTTGATACGGTCGAGGTCGAAGTCGTCGGAAGCAACGACCAAGTTGAGTCTTGCAATGTCAGCGAGGACATTTTTGCCTGTGCCGCCGGAGCGAAGCAAACGAGAGGCGGGAAGGATCTGTAGCGCCGAGAGGAGGGCGATGACAATGGTTTGGAAATCTGCGTCATGGTTAGAAGGGCATACTAAAGCGAAGCCGGGCGGTCTTCCCTGCCTTCTTGGTCAAGTTGACCCAACGCGTCAGGAGTGCGCGGCACC